GGAGGGGAGGGATGCAGCCCTGACCAGCCCACCAGAGACCCCTTCAGAGCCCACCATAGACAGTCTCAGATGGGCTGTGCAGCATCTATGGTGGGCTCTGCAGGGTCACTCTCAGGTGGGTCCTGTGCCCAGCGCGTCACTAAGCCCTGCGTCCAGCGCGTCACTAAGCCCTGCGTCCAGCGCGTCACTAAGCCCTGCGTCCAGCGCGTCACTAAGCCCTGCGTTCAGTGCGTCACTAAGCCCTGCGTCCAGCACGTCACTAAGCCCAGCGTCCAGCACGTCACTAAGCCCAGCGTCCAGCGCGTCACTAAGCCCTGCGTCCAGCAGCGCGGGGGGGGGGGGCCCAGCCTAAAGCCGTGTAAGGGGCCCCAAAATTTCTGATGGCTGCCCTGAATCAGCGGTTACTATGGGCCCCGTCCTCCTGTCCTGGGCCCCCTCTAAGTGGCGGAACTCCAGTGCCCGGTCGCAGCTGCAACCTGGGAGTGTAAGAACAGTAATTGTAAGTAAAAGAAAAATATGTTTAGCTAATGAATGTAAGATGATTTCATATCAGCATGCAGTGCTGGATGCTGAGGTGATTTTATTGAAAGGGGGTAGATTGTGGTTTTTTTTCCCTAACTCCTACGTCACTGCTGTGTCCTGTAGAAACATAGGGATCAGTAGATAGAACGATAGCACACAGTGGGAAACACAGGCTTCTAACAGTCCCAAAAGGGTCTACAGTGCTGGAGGGGATGTAGGAGACCCTGGTCACCAGGGCCGGATTAAGAGCATCACGGGCCTGGTGCTGCCGGTTGGCCGGACGGGAAGCAGCAGAAGCGGCTGCTCACTCCTGGGGCCTCCTCGCTGATCATAGACCTGCTGGTGCCTCTGCTTGATTGTGTTCAGCCTGGCCGGCCCAGATTGCCATTGGACATACCAAGGTGATCTGGGCCGGCTGGGTCTATTTTCAGTGGTGGGCCTGGAGCTGGCGCACCAGTAGAGCCCCTATGTTAATCTGGCCCTGCTGGTCACCAAAGAGCTGAGTATACACAACTTCTATTGCAGGGGATTTCCATTTAGATTTTTTTAGGTGCCTTATAGGGTTCCTTTAGGAAATCAATAAATCATTTACAAGATTGAAATTTTGATGTTTTCTTGTAGTTTTCATTTGGTTACCATTTGTTGCTGATAACTGTGTAATCAAATGTTTCTCCATTCTGTAGGCAAGAATCTCTTTTGTCAACCCACTTTGAATCAGTTGATGACCTGCTCTCTTCCTTTGGACCAGTTCGCGATTGCTCGTTCAGTAACGGAGGCTGTTCGCGTAATTTCAAGTGCGTCTCAGAGCGCAAAGTGGACTCCACTGGATGTGTGGTCAGTAGTCATCTTCAAAAAATAAAATAAATAAAATGTCCATATGCCACTGAAATGTGTAATGCCATTAGATCTGGTACATAGTAAGTGTAATGGGATTCCTATTCTGAAGGTAATCAGGACTAATTTGCAATGAATGTTGGGGGATTTTCATTCAACTATAGCAAAAATCATTTTTCCAGTTGAAAAAAAAAAAGATAAGGTAATAAATATTTGTAATAATGTATTAATAAAATATTAATATTCTGGTTAAACTAAAATCAAGATCTCATTGTAAAATACACGGCCTGTCCAAAAAAAGTCACATACTCTAATATTTCGTTGGACCGTCTTTAGCTTTGATTACAGCACGCATTCGCCGTGGCATCGTTTCCATAAGCTTATACAATGTCACAACATTTATTTCCATCCAGAGTTACATTAATTTTTCACCAAGACCTTGTAGTGATGATGGGAGAGTCGGACCTCTGTGTAAAGTCTTCTCAAGCACATCCCAAAGATTCCTAATGGGGCTCAGGACTCTGTGGTGGCCAATCCATGTGTGACAATTATGTCTCATGCTCCCTGAACCACTCTTTCGCAATCTGAGCCCGATGAATCCTGGCCTTGTCATCTTGGAATATGCCCAGGAAAGAAAAGTATCCATTGATGGAAGAACCTGGTCATTCAGCATATTCAGGCAGACAGCTGACCTCATTTTTTGGGGACACAACGTTGCTGAACCTAGACCTGACCAACTTAAGCCACCCCAGATCATAACACTTCTCCAATGGAAAGCTCTTCCTTTTTGCTTAGGTAAATCCAAGTGTTGACTCTTTTTTGGACAGGCTGTGTAATTCTAGCATGTAGATAGATAAGAAATATAACAGATTCCCATTTTTATGCAACATCTGGCAATGCACATTTTCTGGGTTTCCTATGCGCAACACTGTGGTTCCTAGAGGCTTTTCCCAGTTTAAAGGAGAACTATGAGGCGAGTGCTTTTCACTCCTCCTCATAGTTCTAGCCGACCTGTGACAATGAGACTGTCACAGGTCGGCTCAGTAGATCGGGAGGTGAGCGAACATATACCGGCGTTCGCTCACCTCTGCTCTTTTCGTTACGGCAACATGGTAGGCATACCTGTATACAGTATATACATATAATACTAAAGCTGAGGCTCCCAGACCCGAATGGCATTCTGGAGCTCTCAAATGCAATTCGGAAATTCGGATGCCGAATGCCATTCGGGTCTGGGAGCCTCAGCTTTGGTATTAATATCTGTAGATGGTTTTCTGTGGTATTCATAAACTCATCTGAAACTAACGAAAATTTGGATTTCGTCCGAAGCCGAAAACCCGAACCGAATTGCATTTCGGATCCGAATCCCGAAATAACGAAATATCCGAACGGAATTCTTCCGAAGCTTACATGTCTACATGTCTAAATAAGATACATTGTTGCTAATAGTTAAGGTGTTCTTGAATGTATTTTTAAAGGAGAACTATGAGGCGAGTGATTTTCACTCGTCCTCATAGTTCGAGCCGACGTGTGACAATGAGACTGTCACAGGTCGGCTCAGTAGATCGGGAAGTGAGCGAACACATACCGGCGCTCGCTCACTTCTCGATCCTGTCCCTGCAGAGAGCCGTGACTGTCACTCGCGGCGCCCTGCAGGGACCCCCCCCCCCTCCCCGCTCTGATCCTCCAGCACTGACTGGTTGAACTGACGGGGGAGGGGGCGGGTACAGCTGGCTCTGCCTCTAGATAGGCAGAGCCAGCTGTCAATCACGCAGCTGGGTGGATCTCGACAGTAATGTCGGGATCCGTCCCAGCTGTGGCGGTCTCAGTAACAGCTCGCGGTATACTGAACTTTGGGTCATGGGAGGACGCCAGTTTGTGTCCTCCCGTGACCCTTAGGAGAACTATGGGGAAAAACACTGACCCCATAGTTCTCCTTTAATGTATTTTTAAGGTTTAACTTCTGAGTGTAGTGTCACTTTAATTCACAGCAGGTGAAGATGCATGACCTCTACTGAACTTAGCCCATCTCACAGCATAGCAATGATGTGAAAACCCGCCAGCCATACGATGGTTAACAATGGGTTCCAATAGTCTTGAGAAAGGAACATAATAATGATGGCCTGTGAAAAAGCACAAGAATGGTTCAATTATGTGTCCTTGATGGCCTTTTCAATTCTAAAGTTAATAAGGAAAATGCACCAAGAGTGTTATCATAAGAAGGAGGAATGAATGAAGGACATATTGACGATGCAATCACTCCTCCAAGGGTAACATTAAAATGTACATTACCGTCGGAGCCCTCGGGCTTCTCTGAGTCTCTTCCTGGGGAAGTGTCTCGTCAACTCTTGTGGCCATGCAGGAAACTAAAGTGCATTAATCAATATCAGAGCGCCTTCTTTTAAATAAAGTTTATTTTTATCTACCATGAAGGGTGGACTTTAAAGGAAGCAAAAAAATAAATAAATAGACTAAAGCAGTAGAAAAAAATAAATAATGGAATTGCCTTCAGCAGCCATCGCTGCATGACGGAATAAATGTCAGTTAAAGTACCGCAGCGCTGAATATTGAAAAATGGCCTGGATGGGAAGGGGGTTTAACACCGCGGATGTCAACTGGTTAAAGATGATCTCCAGGCAAGCAACTACGTACACAGATTGATACATAGACGACAGTTGCTTTATCTGCCGGAGCATTAGTATTTCTGCTCATCCAGATCTAAGATTTAAAGGAGAACTCCAAGAAATGCCAAAATGAACCCTGGCAGTGGAGCTGCTGTAGTGATACCAATGCAAATTAAGGTAAATCCACCCTTGAACAATTGTCACAAGTGGGCCTATCGAAAGATTTCCACTTTAATCCTATTTTATCCACAAAAGTTTGAATTTCCCACCCCCAGGGCTGGATTTCCCACAAGGAAGGGGCGGCGGGGAGCTGAGGGGCAGCAGGGATTCCTATCGCCCGACGACCGGGACATGAAGTTCCGGGCGCCGGCTGGGTAGTTGCTTTGTATATTTAGCCCTGCTTTGGGCAAGCTAAATGTAAAGCTAAATGTACAGCGCAGCCTGCTCGTTCGTCTTCACCCAAACCCCCCCTGCCCCTGCCAGCTACCTTTTCCCCCGCCGGCCGCAGATCCTCTCTTCAGGATGGAGAGCGGGGAGCAGAGCAGATAATGTATGTTCTCCGCTCTGCTCCGTGTAAACAGTGAGAGGGGAGAGCTGCACTCACAGACTTCCCCTCTCAGCTGTCACAGGAGTTCCGACACAGCGCTGTGCTAGAAATTCTGTATAGGAGGTGACAGGTTCAATAAAGAGAACCTGTCACCTCTAAATGCTATCACACAGGGGCTCGTCCTTCTTCTGCTGGGGATCCCTCTAGTGATAACTAAGGATCTATATAGAGGAATCAGGACCTCCTTCCTCCTGCTGGAGACCCCTCTAGTGATAATAAAGATCTATATAGAGGGATCAGGACCTCCTTCCTCCTGCTGGAGACCCCTCTAGTGATAATAAAGATCTATATAGAGGGATCAGGACCTCCTTCCTCCTGCTGGAGACCCCTCTAGTGATAATAAAGATCTATATAGAGGGATCAGGACCTCCTTCCTCCTGCTGGAGACCCCTCTAGTGATAATAAAGATCTATATAGAGGGATCAGGACCTCCTTCCTCCTGCTGGAGACCCCTCTAGTGATAATAAAGATCTATATAGAGGGATCAGGACCTCCTTCCTCCTGCTGGAGACCCCTCTAGTGATAATAAAGATCTATATAGAGGGATCAGGACCTCCTTCCTCCTGCTGGAGACCCCTCTAGTGATAATAAAGATCTATATAGAGGGATCAGGACCTCCTTCCTCCTGCTGGAGACCCCTCTAGTGATAATAAAGATCTATATAGAGGGATCAGGACCTCCTTCCTCCTGCTGGAGACCCCTCTAGTGATAATAAAGATCTATATAGAGGGATCAGGACCTCCTTCCTCCTGCTGGAGACCCCTCTAGTGATAATAAAGATCTATATAGAGGGATCAGGACCTCCTTCCTCCTGCTGGAGACCCCTCTAGTGATAATAAAGATCTATATAGAGGGATCAGGACCTCCTTCCTCCTGCTGGAGACCCCTCTAGTGATAATAAAGATCTATATAGAGGGATCAGGACCTCCTTCCTCCTGCTGGAGACCCCTCTAGTGATAATAAAGATCTATATAGAGGGATCAGGACCTCCTTCCTCCTGCTGGAGACCCCTCTAGTGATAATAAAGATCTATATAGAGGGATCAGGACCTCCTTCCTCCTGCTGGGGATCCCTCTAGTGAGGGGTTCAAATCTTTTACCACTCCATCCAAAACTACATCCACTTTAAAACAAAACCTGTCATTTTGATATTGTACATACTGAATGCATAATGAAGCCTTCCTAAGGTGCCATGTTTTCCATTTTGGTTTTACAACATGCTACTCCACAATTTAGATTTGATTTACTTTCTTTTAGTGTCCTGCAGGTCTGAAGCCGATGAAGGATGAAAGCGGCTGCTATGACTATAGCAAAGGAATTGACTGCTCAGATGGATCCAATGGAGGCTGCGAACAATTATGTCTACAACAGACGATTTCCCTCCCCAATGATCCAAGCGAGAGTGCGATATACATGTTTTGCGGGTGAGAGGACACCATACAGACACAAATGAATTGTGATATAAATTTAGTAAAAAAAAGTAATGTCTGGTACTCAAAAACATTATTGGCAACAAAGCTTATCACATTGAACCATACGGAATCAGACCTTCTCAACCACCTAGAGGTGGAAGATCCTCCATTGTTGATCTAACTACACAGCAGTAGCCCTTGTCTCATGCATCCTGGCTGACACGTTTCAAGACTCTGAGCTTCAGAGCTCTTATGATGAGCGTCTCCCCTTGAAACATGGCAGCCAGCACCCATCGGTTATGTCTAGCATGGTCCTCAACTAAAGATCTTATCACGTACCTGAGTGGAGACTCAGCTGAGAAGGTGGCTGCCCATACACCTCTCGTCCTTCACCTCTGGAAGAGGTGACAGGATGTAAGGACAGAGTGGAGCACAGTTGCAGGTACTGGTGGTTGGCCGGTTCTTGAGGAGGTGCGTTGGACCAGCTAGTGAATTGGCAGGTCCGGGATGACACTGGGACCTCTTGAAACCAGAGGAGGCAACGGGTGTGAGGCCAACGGAGCACTGGCTGGATGTAGCTGCTCAGGGTACTGATGGAGCGATCAGCCAAGTGGCAGACCAGGAGGGAAGTCAGGTTGAAGCCGAGGTCATACACAGGTAGCCGAATCTTGAGGTGCTGAATCACAGGTCCGGAGCAGGGTCAGGAAACGTAAGCCAGGGTCATACACAGGAGATCAGAGAGCAGAGGTACCAAATCAGAAGGAGCAAGAGGGGCCAATTGGTCACAAGCTGAGGTCATACACAGGTAGCCGAATCTTGAGGTGCCGAATCACAGATCAGGAGCAGGGTCAGGAGACGTAAGCCAGGGTCATACACAGGAAGCCGGATCACAGATCAGGAGCAGGGTCAGGAGACGTAAGCCGGGGGCCATACACAGGAGATGAGAGAGCAGAGGTACCAAATCAGGAGGAGGAAGAGGAGCCAATTGGTCACAAGCCGGGTTCATACACAGGAAATCAGGATATTGGAACAGAGTACAGGGCACACAGGGACTAGCTGAAAACCACTCAGCAACTTAGTCATGGCTTCTTGTCCATCTTTATAGGATAGTGTGCACACTAATGAGCGTGCACCTGTATGATAACGGGCACGCTTCCGTACGCTCACGTGCGTGTGCTGTTGCGCATAAACATTCCCATACACGCGCGTTCATGTGCTAAAGCGCGTTTTCTAGGAACTTTCAGCAATGGATTGCATGCATGTGTGCGTGCACGTTTTTGGGCAGGAGTCCATCTGCAGGTAAGTCTCTTACAGATCTTCTGCCTCTAGATGGTTGCGCAGGCCTCATTATAGATGGTTTTATTTGATAAGTTGTTTTTCCAAGAATGTTTGGGAGTATTTTGCTACATTACCATGTCACAACGTTTCATCAAATGTATATTTGATGCTGGCGTGCTTTTTATTTGTTCTTTAGTGGCATATGCCTGAAACTAATTCTCAGTGGTGCTCATTTGTCATACCACGTTAATGTTTCAAATGCAGATTTTTGCCATAAAAGGGTCACACTTATTAACCAGTGCAATCAACACCTTTGTTGAGTGACTGCTAGAAGAACAGCATCTGAAAAACAAGCCAGGATGTATGTATTAGAGCCCATTCACACTTGGGGGGGCTTTAACGCACAAGCATTGATGTTCATTCGATGCGTATTGCTTTAAGTCAGCCTTTTTAGTTTTGAATTGGCTGTCTACGCACCTCAGCACATGATAAAAGACACCTGAACTATTTTGGTAAATGAATGTTCACAACTCTGTATTGCTGCCCGTGGTGTGTAACCTGAGCCAGAAGACATCTGCACAAAGTGGAATAAATACAACAATAAAAATACATATACTGTATATAGGAGAAGTCAAACATCAGCAGTTTGATAAAGTTGGACTGACCTATGCCGACGCGTTCACAATAAAATGCTGATGCTTTGACTTACCTCCGCTGCGAGACCTGTGAGGCCCTCTATGCCTACTGTGGATTTGTATGGATATTTTTCTGGATGAGCATCCAGGCATTTACTTTGCAAATAGAGTGCGCTGACCACTTCTGGGACTATATACACTCACTGGCCAGTTTATTAGGTACACCTTGATAGTACCGGGTTGGACCCCCTTTTGCCTTCAGAACTGCTTTCATTCTTCGTGGCTTAGATTCAACAAGGTGATGGAAACATTCCTCAGTGATTTTGGTCCATATTGACATGATAGCATCATGGGCCCAAAGTGTGCCACGAAAATATCCCCCACACCATTACACCGTGACCACCAGCCTGAACCGTTGATACAAGGCAGGATGGATCCATGCTTTCATGTTTACGCCAAATTCTGACCCCACCATCCGAATGTCGAAGCTGAAATGGAGACTCATCAGACCAGGCAACGTTTTTCAAATCTTCTGTTGTCCGATTTTGGTGAGCCTGTGCGAATTGTAGCCTCCGTTTCCTGTTCTTAGCCGACAGGAGTGGCACCGGGTGTGGTCTTCTGCAGCTGTAGCCCATCTGCTTCAATGTTGGACGTGTTGTGCGTTCAGAGATGGTATTTTGCATACCTCGGATATAACGAGGGGTTATTTGAGTTACTGTTGCCTTTCTATCATCTCGAACCAGTCCAGCCATTCTTCTCTGACCTCAACAAGGCATTTTCGTCCACACAACTGTCGCTCACTGGATATTTTCTCTTCTTCGGACCATTCTCTGTAAACCTGAGAGATGGTTGTGCATGAAAATCCCAGTAGATCAGCAGATTCCGAAATACTCAGACCAGCCCGTCTGGCACCAACAATGGTGTAATGGTCTGGAGTCTATATACATTTGGCCATAAAGTATAGAAATTGGACAGAAGAGTATGTAACGGCAAAACTTTTTTTTTTCGGGTTCGAGTATGGCTTGTTTAAAACCCTTATCTGGTTATTTTTGCTGTTTGTGTTCCATTATTTAGATCTCACTCTACTCTTTGTCCTGGAGATACAACAGTAAATCAAAGAAAATCTGCCCAAAGTGGGGGGTTATCCCGATCTTAGACAGCTGTCATTGGATGCATTGCCCTCACCTCTTGCTTTGATGACAAATTCACTGACAATGGTCACCAGGACAAACAGAGAGGTAACAAAATGGATCTAAGATTAAAATGCCATACCACAAGGTACCATTCCAATGTAAGATCAAATAGATGACTTTATAAAAGAGCCTCCACATTTCAGGTGCCAAACTCAGTCCCTTCATTGTGGCTACTATAATACATAGAAATAGGATATATAGGTAAGTCTAGTGTATTGTTTCACATTGCACATACACGTTATTGCCAAAAGTATTGGGACGCCTTTACACGCACATGAACTTTAATGGCATCCCAGTCTTAGTCCGTAGGGTTCAATATTGGGTTGGCTCCACCCTTTGCCGCCTCTTCTGGGAAGGCGTCCACAAGGTTTAGGAGTGTGTCTATGGGAATGTTGGACCATTTGTGAGGTCAGGTACTGATGTTGGAGGAGAAGGCCGGGCTTGCAGTCTCCGCTCTAATTCATCCCAAAGGTGTTCTATGGGGTTGAGGTCAGGACTCTGTGCAGGCCAGTCAAGTTCCTCCACCCCAAACTCCCCCATCCATGTCTTTATGGACCTTGCTTTGTGCACTGGTGCGCAGTCATGTTGGAACAGGAAGGGGCCGTCCCCAAACTCCTCCCACAAAGTTGGGAGCATTGTCCAATTGTCTTGGTGTGCCTTAAGAGTTCCCTTCACTGGAACTAAGGGGCCCCTGAAAAACAACCCAAGAAAACTGTGGAAATCCTGTACTTGGTGTGGAAGCTGTCTGCCCAGAATCCAGGCACCTTGCTCAAACGCCACTGCAACAGTATTGGAAAATATTATCAAAAGGATAATCATAAGGTTACAGAAAGTCACGTACCTGATGGAGGTCAAGTGATGCAGGGCTGTCCCTTGCACCTCTTGTCCAGCAATCCCTGGAGTTGATATAGGGTCATCAGGAGCTTGGAGACGCATCAGTGTCTGTAGCTGGCTCAGATGCAGCTGGGTCAAAGGCAAGCCGAAGGTCAATGAAAGCCAGGCAATACACATACACAGGGAGTAAGCCAGGAACGAGGTTGTGAAGCAAGCCAAGGTCAACCACAACTGGGCAGAGAGGGTACAAAACAGCAACCAGGAGGTGTAGTCAGGATACGAAACTGTAGTCAAAAGCCAGGGGATCGAGATATCGCAGAGTCAAAACAAGCCAAGTCAAATCACAGGTCTGGTCACAGGAAGCAGAAGCTGACGGCCAGTCAGCAACTTCCCTTGATGAAACTCTGGTTTAAATAGGCAGTGCATGCTTAATAATGGTCATGCACCTATGCATTAAGGTCCAAATGTGTAGGCCTATCAATGTGAGCAACATCTATGTTCATTTGTCCTGGCATAGGTGCATGCTGGACTGCGCGCACACACAGGTCTTTGAGCACGGCCACGCACCTGAATTAATAATAAATAATAAAAGCCTGACATGTTCTAACCCCTCTACACTCTATCCAAAAAGGTTTTGCCTTTACATATACTTTAATCAACTGACACAACAGAAAGGGTAAGCGACAGACATCACATTCGTTCAGAAGATGTTTTTTTGTTGGGCCGCTGGGTTCCTATATACATTTAGAAAAACGGGAACATATAATTTTCTCTTCTATCATTTCTGTATGTAGTTCTCTATAGCTCTGTGTATACTCCATAACATGGGCAGTGTTTGTTTTGTAGCTGTGTTGAGGAATATCGTTTAGCTATCGACGGCAGAACTTGCATTCTGGTATCGGATATCTGTGAAGGCGCCAAGTGTTTACGGCCAGAAAGTCACCTGAACAACACACTGTTTGGAGAGATGCTTCACGGGTTTGACAACAAGACCCAAAGAGTCAATCAAGGTCAAGTTTTTCAGATGAGTTTCAGGTGAGATTATATAAATGATGTATTGTTATTTGCAATTACGCAACGCAAGTCACCCCTGAATTGACACTAAACTCATGAGTTATAGCTTAAAAATGCATTGAAGAACCTTAACTATTACCAAAAATGTATCTTATTTGTGTATCACTCGGCTGTAGATCCTTAAATGATCTCTGAATTGGTGTTGACACTGTCCTTCCTTCTGGAGGGGGGCTACTTTTGTTCCCCATGGTCCCTGTGTGTGTTGTAAAGTAGTCACCGCTCCAAGCTCGCTCCCATGATGGACTACAATCCCATTTTTATTTTAGTGTCACTTTAACACAACAATGGTCATATTGGAGCCTACACTCAATAGTTCTCAACAGTCTTATTCAAGGTTTGATGTGTAAAGCTGGGCAATTTAGTTTCAAATAGTGTTCCAGTTCATAAATGGCGAATTTTGAAGGTTCGCAAATTTTTAAAAAATTCAAGCCGAGCCACAAGTGATTGGACTTTTCTGAAGTTTGCTCTTCCTTACTATTACATAAATTTTAAGATGATGAAAGTGTCCCCTCGGCCTTATATCGTGTGAGTGCCGAGTTCTTGTAATTGAAGGTTTTATGGCACTAAATTTAAGTCAAGGTCAAGCTTTCCGGATGAGTTTCAGGTGAGACCACATAAATGACATCGTATTTTTCTTTGCAACAAAAGAACATAAGTCACATTTTTATTCCTTTATCAGCACCTTGTTCTTGGGGGCCGAGAGCGACCCAGTTTCAACTGGACTTCTGTTTTATAAATGCTGAATTTTGGAGGTTCACAATTTAAAAAAAGAGGAAATTGTTACCCAGATTTAATTTACCGTAAAGTGTTTATAATTCCCATTTTTGTTTTCATTTTGGATAGAGTAGGGATGAATTAAAGGTCAGTTGAAGCTACTGGGTTTATGTTTATGTGTGTGTATATATTGTATATATTACATATTCAAATTACATACTTACACATATGTATGAAGATTATATGTATATATATATTATATATAAATTAAATTTAGTGCGATAAAACCTTCAATTACAAGAACTTGGCACTCACAAGATATAAGGCAGAGGGGACACTTTCATCATCTTAAAATTTATGTAACAGTAAGGAAAGAGCAAACTTCAGAAAAGTCCAATCACTTGTGGCTCGGCATGAATTTTTCAAAAATTTGCAAACCTTCAAAAATCGCCATTTATGAACTGGAACACTATTTGAAACTAAAGTACTATATAAATCCTGTATAATAATAATAATTAGACATGTAACCCCGCAAAAAAAATGGTTTAATTTTGGATCAATTTGGATTTGTATTTATTCAGTTGTTCAGATTTCGGAGCCGAAATTTATTTCAGTTCGTTATTAAAATGTTCGTTTCGGAACGAAGTTACATGCCCGTGCCTGTAATGCAACCGCCAACAGCCAAAAAAGCCATCTAAAAGGCCAGAGAACAGTCACATGTCCGAAATAGTTTCATTTTGAACGAAATTCAGATGGATCAAAATTTTCGTTAAATGAGCATTCGGATCCGTATGCATTCGGGCGCATTAGAATTGGGAAATTTAGATGCATACAGATGTCTGAATTTAACGAAATTCATACACATATCCATTCGGAACAAAAAAAAAATTGCATGTCTAATAATAAGAAGAAGAAAAAGAAAGGAAGAAAGTGTGGAGAAATCCCAAAATTTTAAATTGTTATCAGACAAAGAAAATCCTCCAATGGATACGTTCAGCGGTGTGCGCGGGGTGTGGCATGTACCAGGTGATCCCATCAGAGGGGGTGACACCAAAATGACTGACAGTCATTTTGGTGTCCACCGCTCTGAAAAGTCAGGCACTCGGTCATGAATTGAGAGCCCAACAGCTGCACGAGAGGAGGGGACCTGATGGCATTCCTTATCCCACTAGGTGAACGTTCCCCTCCTCTCTTTGTGGGCATCTATGACCAAGATGCCCACCAGCAGTTAAGTATGATGTCACATGCATGTGTAATGACTTCACACCTTTTTTTTTTTTCTTTTGAAGTCCGCGTTGCGTGCAACAAAATCGGCTTCCCCTGTGAACAAAAAAGTGAATTGTGAAATCACAGCACACAAAGAAAAGTGGAAGGGCCTCGAATTCCTGAACCCTCCGGGGCGCGAGGCTGCTGACAGGGGCAAGGATGACTCAGGTCCACCTACCCGAAGGCTGGCAGACCCCAGTCCTCAGGGCCCTACCGAAGTAGGACCCACGAGTACTGGGTGGGAGCTCTCCCAGAGAGAGACCCCCCGAGTGGGGGAAGGCAGAGAAGCCTGTGAAGGCCACAGAACCCCCCCGAACATGAGGACGGGCCCTGAAGGTACCCGCCCCTTCCATCATCTGTAGAGTCAAAGTGCTTAATCATACATGAAAATAGTGCTTAAAAAATAGGTGCCAGTACACTTGAATGACTTCACACTTGATGTGACACCTGGCAGCCGGATGACACTTGGCCTGGTGACACCTCCGGGCACATTTGTTCCTGTGATGACTCTTTTAGATGGGAATTTTGTTCGATTTGGAGAGATTTCCTCTCATTTCCTGTTGTATCTGCAGAAACAGAAAGTGAAGAGCAGAGGCCTAGCTATGAATCATGGGGTCTCATCCAAATTTTGCTATGAGGAAATCTAATCTTATCCAAAATTAGCACAAATTGACCTACGCTTAAAACATAACCATAGGTCGGAGTTGGATGGACTGACTGTTCTGAAAATCTGGCCAACAGCATGAACAGCTATTATTATTCAGTGTTTTTAGTCTTGCTGTAACCTCCGCTTTCTACTCATCTATACAGAAATAATATTCTGCAGCATACATAATTTATTAATCTGTTTAAGGACCGGCTAGCACAGCAGCGCGCCAGATAATCAGATGTAAGCGCGCGGCAAAGGCGATGTGTTAAATAAGGTCATTTTCATTCCCGTCAAGATACCTGTCAATCTTTTTAATAAAAACTAATAACAGAAAATGTTAAAGCGACATTAAACCCTCAGATTTTTTTACATAAAACAATACTGTAATGTGCGCCTTACTGTCATCCATGGTAGTTTCCCTTCTCTTTGCTGCTCTTCCTTTTAAATCTGTATCTGTTCTCATGCTGGGGCAGAACTTCTGTTTTGCAGCAGACTGCCTTGTCTCTGGAATGGATACATGGTGTCTGTGTGTAGGCTTGTAACCTGAGCCAGCACTACAGGAAGAGGCACTCAGCTGCAAAGGGAAGTTCTCCCCCAGCAAGAGATAAGGATTTAAAAAGAAGAGCAGCAAAGAGAAGGGAAACTACCATGGATTACAGGAAGGCGCACGTTACAGTATTGTTTTATGTTAAAAAATCTGAGGGTTTAATGTCACTTTAAGGGCTCAGCATGATCAGGACGGTATAAAACTGTGTTTTCAAAGTATCTCAACATAACAAATGGAAGAGAAGAAGAATATACAAAAACAAGGGAGATCATCTTGTGATCCTGCCACGTTGGGTATCAAGGCGGGGCGCAGAAAGAATGCCGATGAAATATACCCTAACTAGCGCTACTAGTACTAAAATGGGGTGGAAAGTCGAAGTTCTTTAAGATCCCCAGTGGTACGAGTACATTTTATGAATATGACAATGTTGTGATGACTAGGAGCAGGGCTGGTGCTAGACTATTTTGCTCCCTAAGCAAGATCAGCACCCCTCCCGTAGCGCAACCACCAATAC